CCCATTTTTGTATTATTATACTATTTTATTTTAATAAATAAAAATTTAATATTTATATTAATTTTAATTGTATATTTACAAACTTTATTTTACAAATAATATATAATGGCGGCAGACATTTAATATTGAACATGCCAACTGAGAAATCTGAATTGAAAACAACAAAACTAGGTTGGAAAACATAACAACGTCACAAGAGAGATGTGATGTATTTATATTTTTTCCTTATTCATAGTAGGTGTAATATATGAAATATATCGATCGGAGTTAATAGTCATTTTTGGATAATTATCAGGTATTAATAAGTCAGATTACCTTACGCTCTACAAATATAGGGTATTAATCATTGGGTTTGATTACCTAAAATTATACTCCACTGATAACTATCATATAGGGTATTAATCATTGGGTTTGATTACCTAAAATTATACTCCACTGATAACTATCAATGGACTTGACTGCCACAAACTCTATAAATAATACAACTGATGTCAGGTACAATCATATTCTTCTATCCTAATAAAATATAGACATCTTTATAAAACATATCTGACTTGAGTGTCAGAGTGTCTTCTGCAGGTCAACCACCAATAAGGAAGGATTAGTTGAAGAGTTGGTCGATCGGAGCATAGCAACGAAGGACGACCGACCCCGGACAAATGTAACCGAAACATTTTGACGTCCACGGTGGGGTCGGGCGGCATCCCCATGAAGCCACGAAGAACTAGACGTGCGCTCGGTCTCCACATCGCTATTTGGATCAACACCAGGTTTTGCAACAAGAGTAAAAAATTCCGTAATAATTCCTAAAGAGATGACTTTTGTTTTGAGAATTTTCAGGAATGTTCAGCCCTACATCCAACCTTGACAGGTTCCAGTTTTTATTATAATTTACAAATTAATTTTAAATTATAAAATATCCTGCACAGGAAGTTACAGAGTTGCGTTCAACCTTCTCAGGTTCTACCAATTCTTAAATTATAAAATATTATGCACAAGAAGGTACAAAGCTGCTTTCAACCTTGTCAGGTTCTACCGAAATTTTAAATTTGCGTTCAACCTTGTCAAGTTCTATCAACCCGTTCTACCAACTCTTAATTTTAAATTATAAAATATTATTAAAATATTATCCACAGGATGGTTCAGAGCTGCGTTCAACCTTGTCACGTTCTACCAACTCTTAATTTTAAATTATAAAATATTATGCACAAAAAGGCACAAAGTTGCGTTCAACCTTGTCAGGTTCTACCAACTCTTAAATTATAAAATATTATGCACAATATGGTTCAGAGCTGCGATCAACCTTGTCAGGGTTCTACCAAGCACAAGAAGGTAGAGACCTGTGTTTAACCTTGTCAGGTTCTACCAACTCTTAAATTATAAATATTATGCACATGATGGTATAGATTTGCGTTCAACCTTGTTAGGTTTTAATGACTCTTAATTTTAAATTATAAAATATTATGTGCAGGAAGGTTCAGACCTCAACTTCGTCAGGTTATAATGGCCGCTCGGGAGAAGTCAGAAAAATGGCTTCAGAAATCCCCGTTCAACGCAAGAAGTCAGAAAAATTACTCTTGCCTCAAGACCGCGTAGGACCGCTCAGGGAGAAGTCAGAAAAATGGCTTCAGAAATCCCCGCTCAACGTAGAAAGTCAGAAAAATGACCCCTGCCTCAAGCTGCTCGGGGGAAAGTCAGAAAAATGACTTCAGAAATCCCCACTCAACGCAGGAAGTTCGAAAAAGAACTCTTATCAGTCAACTACTCAACAAGTTCAGCTTTGTCAGGTTCCAATGCCTTTTCATTATAAAAATAAATATTGAAGCGTAACTCTTAGCATTTTCTGTTCAGTCTAAGGAACATATCCAAAGAGAACTCCTAGAGTTCGCCGCTCGGTACATAAAGCAATGAAGACTTAAAACATCGAAGATAGACTCCCTAAATACTACGTGAGCGACCTCTCTTAAAGCTCATAATAATTCCTACGCACCTCTTTTAATAAAGAGTTTGCTCGGACTTGGGGGACTTATGTAGTATATGAAATATACCAATTGGAGTTAATGGTCATTCATGGGCAATTATCAAGTATTAATAGGTCAGATTACTCACGCTCTACAAATATGCGGTATTAATTATTGATTATTGGGTTTGATTCCCTAAAATTATACTACACTCATAACTAATCAATGGACTTGACTGCAATAAACTCTATAAACAATACAGCGTCAGAGTGTCTTCTGTAGGTCAATCACCAATCGGGAAGGATTACTTGAAGAGTTGGTCGATCAGAGCATAGCAACGAAGGACGATCAACCTAGACAAATGTAACTGAAACATTAAGGATTTTAGTCTTTAAGATTGATGTTAACAAGGAAAATCATTTATACAAACACTGACTATATTTTTAATTACTACTTTTTGTGGATTTGTTTTTAATATTTTTTGTTATACGTTTATCTCTTCATGCTGAAGTGTTATCTGTAATATATGTTGTGAAATTTTGCTTCTCGAAAGTATTGACTGTCGATTAAGAGTGACTTCATTCTTATGTTTTATGTTTTTTTTAACCAAAGCATATTTCTTTAAAGCTCAAGAACTAGACAGCAAAATACGAATATCCATTTTTTTCATGTATATAAATATGAAGATAAAATTGTTAATTTTACTATTGCCAGATATATGCAATGGTAATGAGATTCCATGTTAAAGTTCATTAAATATGACTTTATTTAAAAATAGTTTGTTTCTACCAAATTACAGATTTGTCTTTTATTTTTGGTTTGGCCTACCATGTTTTCTATTTTACCAATGTCACATAATTTGTACAAAACTAACATTATTGGCATAACTATATGATGGACATACAAAACTCAACCATGGAAAAATTAAGAATTAAGACAAAATCGTATTGGTACAACTGCAGAATACATTATTGAATACACATTACAAAAAGACCAGCAAAGGAACACGCAGATTCCTACAACTTTTTTTCTCTCAGTATAGCCATTAGGAATCTTTAACTCAATCTAGCCCAGCTTTTAATCATCAAATGTGCTCATGAATCCACCACGAAAGCCAGCCCCATTACAGGATCCACACAAAACATCCTTTTTACCTCTGCAAGGAACACATATGTTGTGTAGAATTAGATTGAAGATAAACCTACGACACTGGCAATTATAATCCGAAGTCCTTCGACACATCTGTGATGGTTATTATAAAAAGGCTCTATTTTGCAGGGTTTATCTTTAAATATATTTGAGACTTGGACTACATACATTAACAGCCTTATATTCAACAAAAATCACGACTTACTGAAAGTAATTGCATGTAATGTCAAGGAATCAAAAGAGAACAATAGAACAATAGAACAATAGAACAATATACAAGTTCAAGTGGTATGGTTCAGTTACCTGCATAGCCAACACAATCCACCGGCTTTAAATTGTCCGTTGAAGTGATCTTCAGAATTAACTCCAGTACCTTTGCATTGACTGCACGCTATTGCGCCTGCCAAAAACATAACAACCGAGTGAGTTTGATACTGATGTTTCTAATCATGGAAAGAGAGAAAATACTTCAAATATCAACTAGCTCTCCAAGAAATTGGAAACAGGCCTCAAATATGCATGGAAAAAATCCTGACACTTCATCAAGAATTATTGATGATGACCGATCTTAATGTATTCTTCTTCCAGCCATAGCCTTAACCTAGCCATCAAGCCCAAATACAAAACCAGGACCACTCAAAGTCTACCTTCACATGTCTATCCAAGGCATATAGGAATACCAAGACTAAATAAGATAGGATTTAGCCAAGTACTAAATAGACAGTTTCATCTGTTTGAATCAGTCACCATTTCCACCATTTGCTTGAAAGATGATTTCTTTTACGCTCCGGATATTGTGAATGTAAATGCTCAATAGAGAAATCATCACGAATAGCTAACTGAAACATGACAAGCATCAACATACCTCCAGACTAATTGGGTTTCTTACTATGAGAATATGTTACATCCCCACTGGAACCTGTATGCCTTCGACAATTTTTAAGGTGATATCAGTATTTGGCTAATATCTTTGACACAGATGGGAAACAATAGTGTTTGGCTTAATAGATTTTAAAGACATCATTACCTTCACTATTGACACAACACCTTTTTAGGGAAGATGTAAAATTTCTCAATAAAACAAGAAGAACTGAAAGATCTAAATGTTAATGAGGTCTAAGGTTTTCCTGTTCTGAATTTCGTATAAAGCAAACCATTGCTGTATGATATCATACAAAGGCTGTAACTAATTTGAACCTTCGTTGAACAAAGAATAAGAAGGGTGCAAAAAAATCTTTATAAAAGGAAATTAAATTCTGCGTTTTCACTTACCATTTCCATCACAATCAGAACAAACAATGCTCCTAGATTTTGTTTTTTTAGTGTCATCTTCTGTAGCCTGCATTAAATAGAAATCAGAGAGGGATTCAAAGGATATGCAATTATGAATTGTTAAACACAACAGTAGAAATGTGCAAGCTATATGTGCCATATCCCATTTCTTAGACTCTTTTTCCAAATGTTACTGGACAAAACTTGTCAGCCTATGAACCACACATGGTAGCATGATGACACAAAAAAGGAGAAAGAAAAATGAATACAAAGCACCTTATTTGTAAATGGGATGCTGAAATTAAACTAAAATTCTCACCTTAACCTTCAAAGACTGAAAGCTTGGAGCTCTAGAACTCTGACACGCTTCCTTCACCCTAAAAGTCTTTCCGGTAACTGAATAACCGATAAGTGTCCCTATTAAAGTGAAACAAATTCTCATTCAATATTATAAGCACAGCAAATCCCAAGAAAGAACAATTAAACAGAGAGAGTTATTAATACCAGGTCTGTTTGGGGATTCCAAGGAACAAATAGGAGCAAAAGAAAGAGAGAGCGCCATTCTCAACCACAGGGACTTAAAATATCAAAGGGTGTAGCCAAGTTTGGTATGAACTCTGAACTGAACTGAAGGAGTGAGCTCAAAAAATACAAGTTTGAGCAGATAAGGTCTTCGAATATGTGGGTAAATTTCGTGCTTTCATTACTTTAACGCCCTTGGATGTGTATCAATGAATAGTGGGTATTTTGGTAAAATCCTTCTTCGTGTGCATAAAACAAAGACATGGATTTTTTTTGAAACACAAACAAATGGCGAGCACTCTGCTGTCCGTACACCGCTTTCTTCCCTCCCAGAGTAAGCTTAATTGCGTGCAATTTCGTCAGATTCGTCCTTGTTCTTTGTCAGTCTTGTCAAAATTTCCTTTCCCTTTTCGATAAAGTGTGGGTATTTTCACGAAAATACTGTGGGAAAAATTTATTCTGGTGTTGGTTTATCGTGTTTTCTTTTCGTTATTTTAGAGAGGGAAAATGTCGGTTACATGAGTGCTTTCAGAGCTTCGTTTCGTGGCCAAGCTCTGTGCAATTCAAGTTTCTGTGGAAGACAAATAGCTAAAAGCCATGGAAAACGTCTTGTTGTTCACTCACTGGTTGCCACTTCACCCTTTCTGGTTTCTCTGTCAATTAATCTATCAGTGCTTAAAATTGTGGTTTGCATATATTTGAAGTCTTGATGTGGCAACTATGAAGTATAACTTTGGCTTTTCTTTGTTGACAGTTTGGAAGGCAGGTGAGGTCCGTGAAGAAAAGAGAGACAGTGATTCCCGAACCAGATTACAGGATTTCAATTGTGCTACTCGGTGGTTACTGATTCTCTCTTTATTTGTATGTGCCTTACAACATAGTTTTAGACTTTCAAGTAAACATAATGTTTACTGTATAGATTTTATCTGTAACTGAGGATAATGACTTGGTATAATCGTACATATTTGAGGGCATTGTGCATCTTGTTCTTCCCAAATGAACATCCCGTAGTCCAGCATACTTTCATATATAATTTGTAGACTTTGCTGAATAATCTATCTAGAACAACATAATTTGGTTGGTGGCCGTTTTATCGGGCTAGTTACAATCTGTTAAAGGATTGAATTTCATTCATTTGAAAATTAAGCACCCTTACTGACCGATAATGTTGCCTTAGTTTTTGGGTTCTTTGGAACTTGGTGAATTCAAGTCTTTTCAAATGAGTTTAACTAAGACTTTTAGCATCTTTTGAACACTATAACTCAGTCTTACTTTCCTTTTCGTACATACGCACTAACATACTAAAATCTTATGTGGCTTAAAATTGTACAATCAGGTATTGCTGGTGGGTTGACTTACACAGATAATCTAGTACCTGCAGTACCTGTTGGTCTCCTTGGATTGCTTCTGTTGTTCCAGGTGATTATTAGTAAAAGACGGTGTAACTAAGAAAGGTGTAGCTTGGCTCACGTACCTTTGCGGAAAGGACATGACATTTCTTTTCTGATGACATTTCTCTTCTCATTTTTCTCTTATTTCTTCAGACTACCAGAGTGAGATTTGTCTTTGAAGATGATGCCCTGGTTTGTTACCTTCTTAGTTCTCCAAAAAATATGTTCTATGTATAGTATTATTTACTTTCTTGGCACTCAAACTTCATTATTTACTTTCTTAAAAGCCTTTATATTTTGTCTTATTCCTGCTAAAAAAGTGTGTTGAAATTCGTTAGTTCGAATTAATAAGAAAAGTCCACTACTTACGGTCTTACTGCTAAGGAATATTTAAAATTTAGAATACATATTGCAGTTTTTAGTTAAGTTTTTTTGTTCAGTTTTCAAATGTAAGACACAAAATGTCATGCCATTATATAATTGAATCCATCTCAGTTTTTTTTTTTCTTTATACCCCACAAGCAAGTAGACCTTGTAATTGTAAATCATAACAGTCAAAAATAGGGAATCACCCTCTTGATTTCTGAGAACAGTGTTGTTTCAAACATTTATGTCTTAGTAGCAAGTTCAATGCCTCTTTTCCATCAAGCATTGCATGAGTTTATTATTGGATTACACCAACTTGATGCAAAAGGATAAACTACAGGACTAAGCAATCTGCAGCTTGATCGATTGTAACTTTATGTGGTTTATATTTATTTGCAATTATCATTCAGTTTCAGGTACCATCTTAGTATATGTAACTTCATCGGCATATTATATCTGTCTGCATGACTTCATGTACTTAGATATTTATCATTCCATGCTGTTTTTTATGCTCTCTTTTTAGTTATTCATATTAGTTGTATACAAAATTTCTGGTTTAGGAGGTAAGGATAGGTGAAAAGCTCCAGGAATCAGGTGAGAATGTTTTTGTTGGAGGAGAAAACCGCTGGAAGTAAGTACCTGATTTCTTGTATACGCTTACCAGAATTTCACAAGAGTGGGACAAAAACTAGTATGATATGCTGCAGGTACTCAACATTTGTTAATTGGGAATTCTGGTGGCCGAACTTCCCTGTCTTGGTTTACTTCAAGGAGACGCAAACAAAGCCCGAAGGACAAATCCATTTCTTTCCCATAATCTTTGTAAGCAGTTTGGACGCAAGTGTAGCCAATACACATATAGGAGATAGCTAAGAAAATAAATTTCATTTGCAGACATTAAGCTTCGGCGTTTCTTTTATTGTTCTTGGTATTTTATTTTTATATGCAGAATGGTAAGCAGCTTTATGAGGTCATGGTGCAAAGAGCTGGCCCTTCAAAAACTAGTGGACCAAAGGAATCCTAAGGACTGAGCTGTTGTGGTTAGAGCCCCAGGTATAAAAACCTTAAAAACCATTTAGTATCTTCTTCATATGGTAAAATAGAATTAGAAGATTACTACAGGAGGTTTTAGAATTCTTCCTTTTACTAACATATAGCATCAATGCCTACTAACATATAGCATCAATGCCTACTGTAATGGTTATTTGATCATTATACCATAGAATAGAGTGGCTCTAAGGTTTGTTCACGTGTTTTACAGTGGGGTGTCTTGGATGCCATTGAAATCGAGGGAGCCCCGGAAAAGAGATTTTTTATGTTGAAATTGCTATTTGTTTGTGGTAGTGTGCTGAGATGAGGAAACACTGTTCTCGCTGTTTAAAGAAGCAGGAAAGCTTTATTTAAACAAATAATTCAGATGTAGTTTCCTCAGCAACAAAAAAATATAATTCAATTATTTTGAAGTCTCGTTTCACATGAATATAGTTCGTCTTATTCCTTTCGAGATTTACCAGTGATTTTACTTCATTGCGTAAGATGTAGAATTTAACAGTACCCTATATTTGATTTGTGTTGGCTTCCACAGATGTAGTTCTCCGAATTGGCTACGACATATCAAACGTAAGAAGTTGATACACAAGTAGTTTTTATAANGTTGAAATTGCTATTTGTTTGTGGTAGTGTGCTGAGATGAGGAAACACTGTTCTCGCTGTTTAAAGAAGCAGGAAAGCTTTATTTAAACAAATAATTCAGATGTAGTTTCCTCAGCAACAAAAAAATATAATTCAATTATTTTGAAGTCTCGTTTCACATGAATATAGTGCGTCTTATTCCTTTCGAGATTTACCAGTGATTTTACTTCATTGCGTAAGATGTAGAATTTAACAGTACCCTATATTTGATTTGTGTTGGCTTCCACAGATGTAGTTCTCCGAATTGGCTACGACATATCAAACGTAAGAAGTTGATACACAAGTAGTTTTTATAAATAGATTTCAAGAATATAATTGTAGAATACATTAAACGAATGCCTACAAATAAAGGCCGGTATAGAAAATCACGAAGCCTACCCCAAGAATCATAATTTAAGGTAATGCATGTACAATAACAGATGCATTTCAAACTTCGTGGACTGATAGAGATTGCGAAAGCTTGCAGTTAGCGATGTAGCCACCCGGCATAAATCGTTTCTATCAGCATAGGAATTCAACACTCATGAATTAGCTGACATTACAACTGGCAATAACTTGGCTTTCCATCTAGGGGCTGCAAAACAGAAAACCAATATTACGATCGATCCTTCTTGACGCAGTGTGCATCTGTGCCATGTCGAGTACAATCATGATAACCCACACTCTGGAGGAAGCCTCGAATCTTTTCTACAGTGCTATTACTGGCCTGTAACAAGCGCTCATCTTCTTCGTATATGAGATATGGGGCTTGGCTTCCTTTCCTGGAAAGCAACTTTGATGCTCCTTTTAGAACGTGATATTCCCAGCCCTGAACATCTATCTTTAGCAGAAGAACAGGCTGGGATTCAGGAATCACTTCATCAAGAGGAACAGTCTTTACTTGAAAAGCTACCTCTTCATTGGACTTAAATGCCAACTTTGCACCCGTGGCAGAAATAGCACTGTTGTCTAACCTACCAAGCAACTGAAAAAAAAGAAATTGAATAATCAGCATTGAAAGACAAGCAGAAGTTGAGATGTAAAATAAATTAATTTCATTTTCTTGTCCTTCTAGTTTTCATGTCAGAAACGATGAGGACTTGGCCTAATGGTATTAACTCTGACCGTAAGATGTTACATATTTTCTCCCCAAATCCATTTCTTTCCATAAAAAAGGAAAGTTCCAAATAAAATCATGGATTCAGATTTGGCAACCATAATGGAAACCAAAAATGAAAAGAGATTTTTGTTGTATCGTTTCAAACTGTTACATTTTTTTCCGAGCACAACGCCCGGTCCGACTTGTTCATTAATTTTATAAGATGCAACAGAAACCAGCCAATAGCTATTGCTAAATGAACATGACAAATATTTGGAGGCCACTTTTCAAGTTGGTTCCTGAGGAGATTTTAGACTTGCAAGTTATGATCATCTTAGTTCACCAAAGCATACAAGCTGACTCTTTAAATAAGTCTTTTGATGAATAAACAGACCATTGTTCCAAATATGCCATGTGCAGGGACTAACCTGCCCTAGTAAAATTTTAAAATTTTGATCAGCAATCTGAGGATAGTGGGTGCACAATTGGAAGTCATCACCTGAACCTAAGACCTTATTTGAATATCCATCCAAACCAACTAACAAGCTGAACTAATCAGGTTTGTCAAAATCTTACGGTCAAATCAAATGATCCAAAACAGCTCATTTAAAGAATGTCCTTAAGCTTCAACACAACTTCAAACAGGAGACTTAACGACCTTTTTTAGTGGGTAAAAGACAGTATTAGAAAAATATAACAAAAACGATAGGTCCTAATGAAGCTAACAGCAAATTTGTCAGATAACAATGAAAGGGAAAAGTCATGAGGATGCTGCAAACAGTAAGTTAAAGATCCCCGGATATCCTATTCATCCAACGTGCCACNTCTAACCTACCAAGCAACTGAAAAAAAAGAAATTGAATAATCAGCATTGAAAGACAAGCAGAAGTTGAGATGTAAAATAAATTAATTTCATTTTCTTGTCCTTCTAGTTTTCATGTCAGAAACGATGAGGACTTGGCCTAATGGTATTAACTCTGACCGTAAGATGTTACATATTTTCTCCCCAAATCCATTTCTTTCCATAAAAAAGGAAAGTTCCAAATAAAATCATGGATTCAGATTTGGCAACCATAATGGAAACCAAAAATGAAAAGAGATTTTTGTTGTATCGTTTCAAACTGTTACATTTTTTTCCGAGCACAACGCCCGGTCCGACTTGTTCATTAATTTTATAAGATGCAACAGAAACCAGCCAATAGCTATTGCTAAATGAACATGACAAATATTTGGAGGCCACTTTTCAAGTTGGTTCCTGAGGAGATTTTAGACTTGCAAGTTATGATCATCTTAGTTCACCAAAGCATACAAGCTGACTCTTTAAATAAGTCTTTTGATGAATAAACAGACCATTGTTCCAAATATGCCATGTGCAGGGACTAACCTGCCCTAGTAAAATTTTAAAATTTTGATCAGCAATCTGAGGATAGTGGGTGCACAATTGGAAGTCATCACCTGAACCTAAGACCTTATTTGAATATCCATCCAAACCAACTAACAAGCTGAACTAATCAGGTTTGTCAAAATCTTACGGTCAAATCAAATGATCCAAAACAGCTCATTTAAAGAATGTCCTTAAGCTTCAACACAACTTCAAACAGGAGACTTAACGACCTTTTTTAGTGGGTAAAAGACAGTATTAGAAAAATATAACAAAAACGATAGGTCCTAATGAAGCTAACAGCAAATTTGTCAGATAACAATGAAAGGGAAAAGTCATGAGGATGCTGCAAACAGTAAGTTAAAGATCCCCGGATATCCTATTCATCCAACGTGCCACGTTCTTTTGTTGATAAACCACATACTTGAAGAATGGTTAACCTCATGCAGCACATGATTTAGAGAATATGAACACACTCTCAACTTATCTCTTTACAAGAGTGCAAAATATGCAGGATAAAAGTTCAACACAAACATGTCTTGCAAATCATACAGGCCCATGAGATAACATATCTCTTGTTTTCAAGTTTGTATGATTAACACCTCTTATTGGGCATATTATTTGTTAGTAGACTTCTCGCATAGCTTTTAGGACCAGTGGATCTAATTAGTAAGACAAGTCTAATATTCTTAGGCGTATAATATAAGTAGTCATTTGTTACATTGTGTAAGAAGTTTTGACACGTTGGTGAATTATTAAACTTTGTGCTTTTGAGAGAAAATCTATAATCTGTTAGGTCACTTTTGATTCTTCTCTTTAAATTTCCTAATTCACAGTGACAAATAAAAGAAGCATGGCATTGTTCTCACATTCCCCAATGAATTCCACTTTTCGTTCGTTTTCCTTTATCTTCTATTCCTTGTTAAATTGTAATTGAAGCTAATATATCCAATGTAAAGGTTCAACTGGTTTCAGGTCATATTTCATACCGTGATCATCGTTGCAACTAAGGATTAAAATTCAACAAAGCATAAATGGAAAAGAAGTGAATTCTCAAAACCATTTTCAGAAATTGATTTATAACTAATAGAAATAGTTCTTTATTAATTTATCTATTTCCATCAACAGCCATTTCCTCTACGTTTCTTCTCTCTAAGTACTTCAAATGATTCTTTCCGACCTAACTAAACTAGTATCCAACTAAAACAAGCCTGCTTCTACAACATAATTCAATTCAAGCTCGAAAAATAGCACATCAAAATTAAATTAAAAAAATAAATAAGGCAAGAAATATAACCTTGTAAACGGTAATGTTACCAACGCGATCCGACGCAGCGGCCTCGAACACAGTGACCAAATCCGCAACTCGGTTGAAGTAAATCCCTTCACAGATCTTCTGCAAATTCTCGAACACGGGCTCAAACGCCAGAACCTGAAACCCCATGGCAGAGGCGGCGAAGGTGGCCATACCCACGTTGGCACCAACGTCGACGACCAACCCATCCTTGCCCTCGCTCTTGGCCTTCTAGAGCAGGTCCTGAATGGTGACGGAGATGTCGGGCTTGCGAAAGGGCTTTCCTTTGAGCATCCTTACAATGTTCTTGTGAGGCTTGTCGGGGAGGGTTCCGAAATCGGAGAGGGAGAAGAGGAAGGGGTAGCGCACGCCCTCGACGGTGTTTGCGACGACGGGGTGAGCCTGAGGAGAGGCGGAACAGTCGAAGGGGGAGACTGCTTTGAAGGAGAGGAAGGTGCTACGGGCAATGAGAGCAGAGGTAGAGGTGTATGAGAAACGCGGGGTAAGGAATGCGAAGAAGAGAAGGAGGAGAGTGGAAGGGAAGAGTAAAAAGAGGAACTTCGGGGAGAGGAATCTGGTTTGCTTATCTCTTTTCCATGCATTTGCCATGGAACAAGAGTGTCTGCGTTATGAGAGCTTGGTCTTCTTTCAATGGAAAGAGAAAGGTTTTCTCTATTTCAGATTAGATCTTGCTAGCAGTGCGAGGACTCCTTCGAAAGTGTTTTTCATTGAACCTAACACTAGCCTTTGTTTATCATTTTTGTTTTCTTTTTATCACTAAATTTTAAAACATTCATTTTCTCTGTTTCTTTTTTAATCCTTTTCATTTACAAATATTTTGCAAAAAACAAAAGAGCTAAAATGACCCAAAATATAAAAATCATTTTATGTTTTTCAGTCCTAAAATATTCAGGGAGTTCTCTTTTTGTCTCTCATATTTGACATTATTATTTTTAGTTCCCGTATTTTGCAAAAAAAATATTTTGAATGTTGTTGAAATGAATAATTTTTAAAAGGAAATAAAACTATATTAGATTAGGTGCTTGACAATAAAAATACAAAATCAAAGTGAGTTAGTTATTCTTATTAATTACAATATTTTTAAATGGTGTTAGCACATGCCGATTAAAACAAATATTTATAAATTTAAGAAGAAAAAACTAACTCTAAGTTTAAAGCATGTAAAAACTATTCTTAGAGATATTTAACTTCTAATATAATTATCTACTTTAGTACTTTATTACTTTGCTTTAAATTTTTTTAACAATGATAGTACAAGACATTTTGATGTTAACTCAAACTTGGAATTTACTCTATTCAACCCAATGGAGACTTAATAGTTTGTATGAAGTCTTAAAACTCAATTTTCATGACTGTCATATATTGGTTTAGAATTTTTGTTTTCGATTTCACAATAATACCTTTGTCATCTTGTTTATGCATAATGGAACAATGTATCATGTCAGTTAGAGATAAATTTTAAAAATTCAACAATAAAGAAAAAAAGAGAATTCTTCTAAGGCTTATTATGTACTCTTTTTGTGCGTTACTATTTCGATCTATTGCCAAGTCAAGATTATTTTATTTCCTTACCCAATTGTTACAAAGAGTGTAATTTTAATTAATACAAGTTCATGCATAGAAAATGTTTGTTTCCCAACAAAAAAATTAGTATTTGCCTTTCTTAGTATTTTTGAACTGGTTGAGTTCCATGCAGGAGAATTCTTTACTCAAAAAAGTGTACAAGCAATTCTTTTATCAACAAGGTGAATTTAGAAGAAACTAATGGGTTTAATAGTTCATCAATTCATGAGGTAATAGATATAAAATGGTATTGAATGTAACTCAAGAAAAGGGTGAGATAAGCAAAAAAGCAGAACAAGTGACAGCTACTTGAGCGTGTTCTTGTAAAAAGATTAGTTGGGAAAGTACTTTTCACGGGTTTGTGCCACTTCCAACCTAACAGTAGGAAGCATTCTGCCCATGCATTACATAACTGAATCTCTTATTTACTATAAAGACATTCTGCAGAGCACGACAATTGCATAAATGATGACTCGTCATTGCCATTCATGAAATTCAATAAATCATGTGAATCAAATCAATGGATACATATTACCTACAAAAGTGTGGTCACGTTAGAATTTGTGTAAAAATAGAAATTGAAGGTAACACGTACTATTGAAGAAATGGTGGTCCCTTCCGTTTTCTGCTCTATCTTCTCATATTTCTTGTTTGTCTCAGAACATCCTCGGGTGTCAACTGGACATCATAATGGTTTGCCTGTTGCCGCTGAGTGATGGATAAACAACAATGAGCATAGCAAGGTGTTTAAAACTGGGAGTCAAGAACACTGCTTAGTGTGAAAATCTTCTGCTGACAATAAACCATTCATAAGACGTTTGAGCCTTTCTGCTCCAGGGCCAGGCTTAAGTTCGGTGATATTTTTTATGGCAGAATATGGTTTGGTGGTGTTTGAATTTGTCCGGTCAAACCACTTGCCAGGCACATAACCATGTTCATTTCGTCCCAGGAGTTCAGTATCAATCTTATCCAAGAGTTGTTCGTTGCTGCCAAATTTCCGAGCAAATGGAGCGTTGCTCTCCACCATTTCCTCGTAGTTATTGATTGTTAGGAAGTGTGGATGTTGTTTTGGAGGGTTATCCCATGATATGAAGTGGAGGTCATGATTTACAGTAGTGTTCCGGAACTCATCAGCATTGCAGATGACTGTGTGAAAATACCCTTCAGGGGAGGATAGAAAGTTGGCATAATACATCAAGACTATTCTAGGCAAGTTATCCCATCCCCATAACAAATACTCAACAAATTGGCGAGAGAGCATCATCCAAGCAGAACCTGAGCAAAATCATGTAGCATAACAAAACTCAGAAAGCATAGAGTTGGATACTACTACTAGGTCTTTCAACTTAAGGAAAACTATTTTAAAAACTTCAGATGATAAAGTGTGGTATGTCATAGATTCAAGTAAACTAGTTGATATTGTGCGGATGTTTAACTGCAAATGGCTTCATTTTGAAACAAACTTAAAAGGGTCATGCTAGCTAACAAAGGACCTGATGACATTGGTTAAGGTGCATTTAATACACTTTCTTAATTACTTATAAAGTAATTATTAAATGATTTTTGTATTTTCAATAAAATTAACAGTTACTTGCTTCTGCTGTTCCATTTACCAATGTCCTTACGGTACATGTTAGCAATTGTCAACATAAAATAGAGGGAAAGGACACCAGAATAAGCGTATGCAATTAGACCTCTCGTATGAATGAAATAAATTTCCAGGTAAGTGACACACAGCTCATGATAATTGCGACATCTATATTAGGAATACCAATGGCAATCAGTAGTACTTCTATATGAGATATTTGAGTTCAACAAGAGAAAAGGTGCGAAAAACTGTGGCCAACAAGAGAAAAGTAAAAGAATGGAGAAAGGTGAAAAGGTGTCGTAGTTCCGGGTAATCATATACTAAAACCAAAGGCTCTACCACCCCCTCTCTATCTCCATCATCACTGTTTGACTTCAATTTTCAAATTTTTTTCCTATTTTGATTTCCGTAAAATCTTCAATTTATTCTACGGTAGCATGTCTCATAATACTGAAACATTCTACAAATGTGAAAAAGCAAACTAATAAACGTGGAATGAGAAAATTAACAAAATAAAGATTTAAGCAAGATAAGTCATCAGATACCATACCTGTAAACAGCTTATATGCTGTGGGAACATTTCTTTTCTCTGTCACCCAAAACAAATCAGATTTATTGACACTATAAAGTGCTGGATCAATTATAACAGGCTTGGCTCTCTGATCTCTATTGAAAAAAGGAAACAGCAAAGTCTTCACAAAGTTGCACGTTACTTTTGAAGGAAATAAAGAAAACCATGCAATATAACACAGGATGAAAGGATTAGCAACTTACTCTTTCCAGCCAATATCACTGGTGTGCTCAATAAAGTTAAGGTGTCTCGGCGTTGATGACAGCGTATGCAACAGATCTGTTGAGAAAAATACATGAACTGAGTGATCGTGAAAACAGGGTAACATAATTCACAGTTCACATTCTTTAGTAAGTTTCAACAAATAAACATATTTAAGCATTTAACAAACAAACCATAAAAAAATCCATAGAAATTTATTTTAACATATTTACTCTTATCTGAAACCCGGCATTCTTCCTCCCCCACCACCCCAGGCCACAAGAAGAGAGAGAGGAACAAGCCTGTCAGCTGACAAAACAAACAACTCATCGATGAGCAAATCGACAAATAGAACACTTTGGACTATATTGGGGCCAGATCAAACCAACTTAAAATTCAGTAAGTCTCTAAACTTATCTCAAAATTAGCAGCAACCGGTTCTCACATCACATATCAGAAATGCATTCCAAAACAAACCAGCATTTAAATCCATTAACACAAAACCAAAACCTGGGAAACAGCCAAGACAGAAATAAATGCCCGGCCCCGTTTGAAAGATCACGAATCAACAAAATCTCCGTAACACAGACACGGAATCCAACAAAAAGCAGTGCCTAGTTTTGCTGATCGAAGATACAAAAAGAAAAGTTAAAGAGAGGGTAGCGTACCATCTTGGGTGACCAAGGGGTAATCAGAAGCGCTTAGATTGATGAACCAATCCCAGAGTCCACCTTCCTTGAACAAAATGGCCGCAGCGTGAAGGGTATTAGTGACCATAGTAGGTCCCCTGTAGGTGACCAAGTTAGCCTTAACAACCATCCTAACATTGCCCAATTTGGCAAAGAGAGGCTCGTTCTTGACGAAGTTGGCAAGCTCCAATCTTTCCTGCGTGGAAGCCTCGAGGTCCAAGTGCACAGCGTACTGATTCCTGGGATGGTAAAGGGCATTGAGGGTTCTCTTCAGAGTCTCGCCATCACCCACTGACCCCGAGATCAGGTAGGCGATCCTGGGAACGGATTCGCTGGATGACGTGGAAGACACCCTGAGCTTTGACTCCACGAAACGAGGCTCTTCCACTCTGCCACGTGTACGGTATAGGTAGAGCAAAGAGGAAGAATCGGTGGAGACGAAGATGGAAAAGAGTATGAGTAAGGTTAACAAGAGTAGAGACAATACAAGTGGGAGGAACCATTTCTTCCTCTGCTGTTTGTTGGTCTCCATAGATAAACAACGTTTTCAGGTACAAATGGCCCAAGTGCCAACCTTTCCTTGCTGGGGTTTCTTCAGTGTTTCTGTTGCAAGGACATAGAAGAAAGAAAGAGATAAATAGGGCGAGTAATACTAAAAACCTTGGTTCATCATTAATAGCAATAGTCTAATAATAATAATATTATTTATCCTTATGAATTAGGGTACGTTTGTACTTGCGATAATACAACAGTCAAATTAATTCTAGGTCGCTTTCCTTTCTTCTCCCTCTTCCCACTCCTCCTTCACTTTTGTTCTTTCTATTTCATTTTTAAAAAATAGAAAAATTCTATTTTCCTCTTTTGTTTATTTATTTGTGTTAGACCGATTGAATTAATAAAATTTTTCAAATTTATTAAGATGAAAAAGCTTGTAGCATAAATCATTTAAATATAATTTTTAAAATAGTCATCGCAAGAGTGCATAATTTCTTGCTATATATAAATTCATTGGATAAAGATATAAAAAAAAATAGTATTGAAATTGTGTTCTGATTAAATTTACTAATCATATCCTTTTTATGCCTATTATAACTTTATATATAAATATAGATATATCATGTTATATACTTTGAAATAATATTTAAATGTTATCTTATATGATTTAATTAAGGTGAGAGTATGTTAGACTATCTGTGAAGAAGTCTTCAGTTTGTCACTATAAAGTTTTATTAACCCATTTTTATTTACTAAATACAATAACTTAAGATTTCAAATAAAAATTGTAGTTTAGAAAACTCTGTTTTAAGTGATTTGAATATATTTGGTGATCCATATAGCTAACAATTATTTTGAGTTTAGTATTATTTTGCAATAATAAGAAAGATTAAAATAAAAAGATAAAGGTATTTTTTTAAAAAGAGAATATACAAGTGTCATGATTGTGGAAGGGTAAATAGGTGAAAGTGTTAAAGATGTGAAAAGGGATATATGCCTTGCCAATTTGAATGGAAGAAAATCAGGGCAAGACATGACATGACAGCAAAACTAAACAAGTGTCGGCAGAAGACACAGCAATGCATGAGCACCAAACACAGCACAACACAAACGCGATTATTGTGTGCTTTAACCAATCATGTTTTGCTTTTTACACCTACTCGTTGTTAGGTAGAAGGGAATACATAATACACTCTTTCCTGTCATCTTTAATGCTATGCTGTTTGCTTAATATACCATAATTTATAATAATTAATAAACAATTTACATTTTTTCTAAAATTATAATTTTGATATGTTTTTTTCTTTTTTTTCCATAAAGGTCTGCTACTTACAAAATTGTGTCTAATCTAATTATATTAACTAATACGAATGTTTCCCTTAAACTTTTATTTAAAAGGCAAATTTTAACATTTAAAGGGATTATCATCAGTAAATTACTCCATTATTTAGGTATATTAATATATATCGATTTCAAGTGATATCAAAAAATTATTCCATTATTTATCACCAACTTATCCAAGATAACTCTAGTTTAACTGTGCTTATCATTTTAAAACTAAAATGAGTAAGTTGACTCGAAACAAAAAATTAAACTATTTATTTTATAAAGTTAATTTAAACGTACAAATTTATGAAAACAAGAAATCACAACCATGGGTCTAACTAAGTGGATTGAATTTCTTGGTAACGAACTTTGATTCATTCCAAACAACAACTAAAAAAAGACAAACATTATCTTTACTTGGTTCATATGGTCATTCTTAAACTATGATTAGGTGAAGATAGAAATAATAGGGAGATAAAAGTATTTTTTATATTTTATTCTGTTTTTTTTATATATTTTTATATGTATTTTAGAAACTCGCAATTCTAAAATAATATGTGAAGTTTATATGAGTATAAGTTATCACGTATATATATTTTGAAATGGTACAAAACGAATAAATTTTAAATCTATATCCGTGCATATTTTTCGTTTATAATTAGGTACATTACCCTTTCTTCGTCTCATGGGAACACTTTTTCAAATTTAGACCTGGTAAGTTTAATTTTGAAAAAAAAAACTTAATAAGTTTTACGAAATAAAAACATTTATAATTAATTTAAAATAATTTTTTCAAATATTATTTGAAAAATTAAAATAATGGCTTAAAAACAACGGTTTTTTTTATTATTATTACAAAGTGATTGATTTTAAAAAAAGAAATAAAAGTAATTAATTTAAAAAATTTATAATTTGAAAAATAAAAAACATATAAAAGTTTGTTTGATCTTTTTGATTGTTAAAAAGATCAATGATTCTTAATGGGCAAAAAACAAATGAATGATAATGATAGAATCCATTGAATAATGGAACAGTGAATCAGAAAACACCTTGAATGTTTCAATCAGCAGCCAAAGAAGGCACCAAACTTGTTAGAACAAAGCAAGGATTAAAAAAAGTGTAGGCACGCTGCTCACTAATCTTTTCACTGTTTGGCACAAATAAGGTTTCATTTGGTTCAAAAGTCATAAACGCGCTTTTATTCCAAATTCAAGGTTCAACCACTCATCCAATTTGATTCCTCCTCCTCCATGACATATTCAACGTTCATGGTACAATTTCCGCTATTAGAAATGGGCTTTCAGAAGGACAAACAAAATGTTTAATTTGTGATTATATGCACAAATGTTTTAGTTTTTGTTAGGTTGATTTGATAATTAATTTAATCAAAATGCGATTACCGATTGCGATATAGCTGTATTCATAATTGATTAATAATCTAAATATTTCCCACTAGCTAGCTGTATTTCAAAACTAAAGGGGCGTTTCTTCATCCATCCCACGTTTTTCTTTCTACACCTACAATTTTTACCCTCTTCGTAATAACAAATTGGATAATAAGGGAGAACTAACCTGATCAAAACTAAACATGTTCACTAACTCATGTTTTTTGTTACCACATGCAAGACTGCACCATCAAAGTCCTCCTTTTTAGTTGTGCCCTTTAAAAGCAATCAGAGTCAATACATGAAATCATATCTATATTTTTCTTTGTTGCTCACCTCACACCAAACACAACCCCTCATATTCAAGTCTACATAATTCAGCTAGTGTTAATTAGTAGGGGTAAAATGGTCAGCAGAGGAAAGTAGAGAGAATGGAGGTGTGTTGGATGGAATCTATGCTAAATGCGGATGCAATGAAAAATTATGCAAAGATGGATGTGAAGAAGATGAAGATGAAAGTGCAACAGTGTGGATGGGAGAAGAGGATTGGGGACGAAGATAAAGACGGAGGTGCATAAGTGTGATTAGTGCAAGAGTAAAAATGGATTAAAAATTTAAAGGTGGTGTAAAAAGAAAAAGAGGGAAGTGCAGGAAGAAGTAACCCATTATTAGTTATTAATCTTTCAAGTGGGCTCTCTTATCAGGAGTTCAAATGAGTTTCAAATTGGGTGTTTCACTCTACACTTCCAAACTTTTCATCTTACACCCCCAATTTCCTAAAATATCTCTAATTAATGAAGTGGTTGGTTATTTGTAAACTTTATATTTGTTCAGAAATGAAGTGTTGTTGCTTGATTGCATTGTTGGTTGGGGTACATACTTCTTGGTGGTGTGCTGGTTTCATTGGTGGTGGGAGATTGCGGGGAGGTTAACAGTTTATTTTTGTTTTCATCTAATTCACTTGCATGAGAAGCACATCAACATGTAATACAATGGAAAAAAACTTCACATGTGCATACCGAATATGAAAATCCAATTTTATCTATTCAGATGTCGATATCCAATGTGTTGTTTGTCAGTTTGATATGTTTTGTTATATAAAAATTTAATTATATTAGTTATTTAATAACTTTATTTGTTTATAATTATTTTTATATTTATGTATTAATTTGTATAAATTTATAATTTAATTAGAAAATATTTAATTGTTAAAAAATAATATTTACAAATTTATTAGATTTAATAAACATATTTTTAAAGAAATAAAATTCAAAATATGTGTATCGGATATGAAAATTCAAGTGAGATGTTATTGGATGTTGATATCCGATAAAATAGCAATTGGATATGTAGATCCGATTTTGTTTTAGTAAAATTTAATTCTAGGTACTCATTTAATTATTTTATTAATTTATATTTATATTTAAATTTATGTATGAATTTTTATAAATTTATAATTTAATTAGATTATTTTTATAGTTAAAAAATAATTTTTATAAATATTTTAGATTTAATATAAATATTATAGAAAAGATAAAATTGTAAAAATATATATTAGGTATGAAAATTCGAGAAAGTATTAATCGGTGGTTAATATCCGATAATTGAAGTATCCAATACGTAGATCCGATTCGTTATATTTGCTGTTTTTTTACATTTTTTTTACTTGCGTTTCGTTTTCTACATGCTGCTTTATTAAGTTTTTTTTACATGTTTTTTACTTGCTGCATGCTGCTTTGTTAATATTATGCATCATTAAGTTTTTTACATGCTTTATGTTTGCTGCATGCTTCTTTACTAATATTATTTAACAATAGATTTCTTTTATAAAAAAATTAAATAAAACCAGTTAACTTAATTTTTATAATTATTAAATTTTGTTAATACAAACAATGCATTTTAAATGTTTAATTTTTATAACATAAAAAATCACATTTATAGTTATTTAAATTATTTATAAGTTGATTATATTATTTATAAATGTATAATTTATAGTATTAGTTTATGATTTTATAATTTAATTATAAATGTTTAATTTATTGTATTAGTTTCCTTTTTGTTAAAATTTTTGTATGAAAAAAATATTAATTATTTTTTTATTTATTAAAAAAATTGACATTTAAAATTGATATAAATTTTTTTAATAATGAAATCACTGTGTACTAGGAGGATGGAGAGAGAAAAAGGAAAATCCAAATGAGATGCCAACAATATTAAAATGCCAGAGAGAAGTATGAGAGGAAGAATATCTTTGACACTAACAACGTTAAGAAAAAGAATTTTTGACCATTTTACTTTTTATTTTTTTAAATATTAAAATATTTTTAATTACAGAATAATTTAAATATTTTAGAAAACTTTGGAAATATAGGATGAAGGGGTTAGAGGTGCAAACACCCTTTGAAATTTGATTTGATAATAGACAGTAGCATTTCTCCCAACACCTTTGTCACTG